AAGCCCTGTCCTGTCCTGTCCGAACAGCAAGACATTAGGAGTCTCTCTCTTTACCCCTCACGCCATTCCCACTCCCCCATCTCTCTCCACTGCAGTGTTCCCAGGGTCATAAAAAGCAATCGGGGAGGTTGTGAGGCAGTGGAAATTTTATTACCGTCTAAATGTCACTCACCCGCTCCTTGCACACCCTTTACCCTTCAAGGTCAAGTATTCTCTGCCAAAACACTTATATAGGCCTATCATTGATGCACTTTTTTTTTACTCTTTTATAGTAAATATAAAGGGAGATTCATGAAAATATTTTGCGTCTGATGAGGGGTCACCATCCTGACAAGGCTGGGAAGATTAAGCTGCAGCTCCAGAGAGAAATTTTAGGAATTCTCCTACTGCTGGCTTAGGTGCCTAAATACCTTTACAAATCTAGCTCTAACTCCTGCTTGTTTGCAACATACTAGATACAGTTTGACCCAATCTAGTATGCAATGCCTAAGGGAGTAAGGTGCATGAATTCCTTTAAAAATCTGGCTCTTAGTGCCTGTAGAACTCAAAAAAATCCCTATTGGTTTCTGTTCCATTCCATAGGGCAAAGCACTTGTGAGAAACTCGCCTATGAAAAAACTGTCGGCTGAAGCTGCTCCTACAAAGCTGGCTTCTGTATCTTATTTTTATAGCTGTTTCCTCAGGACGCTCAGAGTGGATACACCCAATACTCCAAAGGCTACCGGTGCTCATGTATCTTGGGTTTGTGTGGAGTGTGTACAGCTGGAGGGAGCTAAGGAGCATCACGTGACAATCTAACTTGAGGGACTCTGTTTGAAATGGCAGCAGGTTCTTCTCTGGTCAGGGCCGTAGCAACAAAGAAGGTGGCCCCCTCCGAACGGTGGCCCCCTCCGAACATATGTCCAGGCGGGGCCCCTTACAATGCAGAAACTGGAATGCGGTATTTATTTTGCCACTTTTAGGGGCCCCCTTCCTTGCGGGGCCCCCTCCGGTCGGAGGGTGCTTGCTATGCCTCTGTCTCTGGTGATCCGTATCCAGATTAAATATCTCACTAGGCTTCATGACCTATTTCGATTAGTTGGACCCTATCCCTGTGGTAGGAAGAGTTGGGGCTGGAGGGTGCTGGCATTTTGTTTTCCAGCCAAAGACTGAGATAGGCAAAGCCCTGAAATAAAACAGGACGACATCGGATCTGGCTCCATAACCTGACCCTCTAGAAAATGTATTCCCAAGCTACCTAGAGCATTGGAAAGCAATGCTGACTGCTGTGTGTCATCCTCTGGCTTTCGTTGGAACGGAGGGAACGGGACAGCTGCCTGCTTAAACTTTCCCAAACATGATCTCTGTGCCAATAAAATAAACAGTTTAGAGGAAGCAAAACCCTGGGCACATGCTTTGGCAGCCGATTCCTCTTTAATTGCAGGAAGAACATTGGGGATTTTTTCCCCCCTTCCTTGGGCTGGTTTCTGAGGAGAAAACTGAGCTGAAGGATCAGAGTTGAAGTTTCCTTCCCTCTCCCCTTCCATCTGTGTTTTTCTTTTCATTTGCATTCAAGGAATGTAGCTTACTTAAAGCCCCAGGAGGCACAAATAATGTCTGCAGCTAAGAACCCTGCGGCTTGCCTTAGAGATTTTGACAGCAAACTGTTAAGTTTTAGAGTTATTCTCTGCACCCTTTTTCTGGAGGTCTGTGTTATTTAATAGTGCTAATTACTGAGGCAAAGAGCCACCATCCATTGAAATCAGCTGGGAGGCTTTCTGTTGACTTAAATGGGCATTGGAACAGGCCCTAATGCTGGGCCAATCCAGGTTCCAAGCCATTCTTAAGACTGTCAGGCTCCCCCGCTCCCTTCCCCCACATCAGATTTCCTAGAGTCCTGTGGTTGGCTGGAGTTACTCCCCTGATTGCTTGCAGGCTGTGGGGATGGGTTTAATAGTTAAACCACCTCTCCTCTGCAAATTGCAATGAAATTTCCTATCCTTAATTACTTCAAAATGCTTGTAAAGTGGGTATAAGCCCCACTGTACAGTTGGGTAAACCAAGGCACGGAAGGGAAGAGTATGCCTATGCTGCAGAGGAATACATGCGGTGCCAAGTCCCAGAGCCCAGGTCAATTGACTGGGGCTCATGGTGCTTGGTCTGCCAGGCTAAATATAGCAAAGTAGGCAAGGGTCTTGGAGCCTGGGCTCTAGCCCAAGTGGGAACACCTACACTGCTATTTTTAGCCTTGCAGCCTGAGCCCCAGTGAGCTAACCCAGGCTCCGAGACTGCGGATTTTTCTTTGCCATGTTGACATACACTAAAGTGACTTGTGCAAGTCGCTAGCAGTTTCACTCGTTTAATTGCTGGCAAGTCTCCTGGGTTTTCCAAGAGCACCTGCTTGTTTAGACCATGCTTATAGTTTGATCCGATCTAGTATGCAGGGCCATCCGCTTCTTCTCTTAGGGCTCAGCGTGGGGCGGTCCCCATCGCCGTCCTACTGCAACTACCACTAATAGTTAGGAAGAAACTTTCCCTGTGATCAGGTTAGTCTGTAATCACCTACTGCAGGGTTTCTTGCACCTTATTCTAAGGCAGCTGGCACCAGCCCCTCTCAGAAACAGGATACTGGATTAGATGGACCCAGCTGCGCTTACTCGGTACTTTCTTAGTGCTTTAGTATGTCAGCATATAGTGTTGCACTAACCGATTAGATTGATTTAAACATTCATTATAACTAATGTCTTTCTCAAACTGGAGCAGAATAGTCAGCGTTTCTTTTCTCTTTTTAGCAGCTGCAAGGAGGGTGTAACAAGACCCAGGGACACTTTTAAATGATACCACAAACCTTCAAGGCTGAGTCAAGGAAATTCCCCTGTTTTTGAACTACAGATGCTCCCCAGGTAACGCAAACCCGGACTTAACGGAAAAAGTTCCGTGAGCTTTTTTTCCCCCTTCTGTAATTGTCGGGTATACGTTCCCCACTTACGCAAAATTCGACTTCCGCAAGGCGTTCCAGAACGGGGAGCATCTGTAGTGGTTTGGGAGCTAATCGCCCATGATGCCAATAGACAATGTAATATATTTAAAAAAAAAAACCTTTGGACCCCAAAAAGCAGTGCTGAGATTGTCATCATTTGCTGAGTATTTATGGCCAAGAGCAATGCTGCCTGGACTTTATTCCCTTAACATGCAGCCCACTCAGGCTGTAGCCATCATAGGCGTGCTGAGGGCCTGTTTATTGTCTGTCATCAGGCGTATTTGGCTGTTGTATTTTGCATTTTTCAATTCTCCAGAATCATTTTCTATTAACACTTCCACTCCTGCAGGCCCCATGGCTTTTTCTATCCTCATCTGTTCCGTTCCCTTGCCCCTTACTGCAATCTGTCCCACTCATCCCCTTGTCCTTCCCATCTTCCCACCCCTGCAACATCTTCCACCCACAAACTATTTTTTCAGTGAATATGATTTTTAACATGCTGGTAGCAAACCACTATATTTTTTGTAAGCATGTTCCAGTGAATTTTCTTATCTTATTATGGGCCTTGTTTCATTCTTTGGGCCAGCAGGGTTGTGCTGATAAGACCTGATTCACCTGTCTTTTCCTACCACCGCATTTACGCAGGGAGTTGAAGGAAGAGTGAGGTTCTGGAACAACCTCCCAGTAGGAGTTGGGGGGGGGGGGGCAAACAACCTAATTAGTTTTAAGATTGATAAGTTTGAGTGGGATTGGATGAAGAGGTTGGCTGTGGGATGGCGGTCTGGGCTTGGCTGGTGAATTCTTTTTCCTCCCTCCTGTTCATTCTTTCGGTTTCGTGGGCTCTTGCAATTACTTGATTAGCATCTGCAGGTCCTGCAGCAGTTCCATTTTCTTTAAAATGTGAAAAATGCATAGTAATTGAAAGACCAAAGACATTCACGCTAATAGAGGTGTATTTACAGGGGACGGGTAGGGAGAATATGCTTTAATCTGCCTTCCCGCAACCAAAAGGACTGTTAGCATAGATTCCAAAGCCAGAAGGGACCATTGGGATCATTTAGTCTGACCTCCTGTATAACACAGCCCAGAGATCTTTTCCAAAATAAAAACATCTAACTTTGATTTAAAAATGGTCAGTGATGGAGAATTCACGCAACCCTTGGTAAATTGTTCCAACAATTAATTACCCTCACAAATGTATACTTTCTCTCCAGTCTGCATTTGTCTAGCTTCTACTTCCAGCATTGGGTCATGTTATAACTCTCTCTGCTAGCCTGACGAACCCATTATTTAAATATTTGTCCACATCTACATACTTCTAGAGTAAGCACTATAAGGCAGGTTTTCTTATCCTCTAATCATTCTTGTGGCTCTTCACTGAACCCTCTCCTCCAGTTTATCAACATCCTTCTTGAATTGTGGAATATGGGACACAGTGTTCCAGCAGCGGTCGCCTCCGTCCCAAATACAGAGGTAAAATAACCTCTCTCCTCCTACTCGAGATTCCCGTTTATGCAGCCTAGCATTGCCTTAGCTCTTTTGGCCACAGCGTTACACTGGGGGCACCTGTTCAGCTGGGTATCCACCACAACCCCCAAATCTTTTCCAGAGTCACTGCCTCCCAGGACAGAGTCCCCCATTCTGTAAGTGTGGCCAACATTCAGCCATTCTTAATGTGCATAGTTTGCTTGCGCTCACTTTACCAAGTGATCCAAATCGCTCTGAATCCATGACCTGTGCTCTTCATTTTTTACCCCTCCCCAGTTTTTGCATCATCTGCAAAACGATCAGTGATGAGTTTGTTTTTCTTCCAGGTCATATATAATACTTTTTATCAACTGTAGGGCCGTGACCTGATCCCTGCTGAACCCAACTGGAAATATACCTACTTACCGACCATTCCCCATTTACAATTACATATTGAGACCTATCGGTTAACTAGTTTTTAATCCATTTAATGTGTGCCATGTTCACTTTATATAGTTCTCGTTTTTTTAATCAAACAGTTATGGGGTACCAAGTCAAAAGCCTTACAGAAGTCTATTATGTCAGCACTTTTACCTTTAATAACCAAACTTGTAATCTCATTAAAAAAAAGACATTAGCTTGACAGGATCTATTTTCCACAAATCCATGTTGATTTGAAATAATTACACTACCCTCCTTTAACTCTTTCTTAATTGGAGTCCCGTATCAGCTGCTCCATTATGTTGGAATCCAGGATCTTCCCTGGTGCTCCAAGATGCATTAAAAATCAACATTAATGGTCCAGTCAGTTCCTCATCCAGCTCTTTTAGAACTCTTGGATGCAAGTTATCTGGACCTGCTGATTTTAAAATGTCTGTGGAATGGAAAGAATATTATCATCATCATCTGATGAAACGATATCATCTGTTTTTCCCCAAGTACAGAACAGAAATATTTGTTGAACACTGCCTTGTTATTGATAATTCTAGCATGTGAATTAGAATTTGAAAGCCAGGTTATGGCAGATACTAACAATGTGTCACTTTCGTTCATCCAGTCCATGATTATCTGGAATTGGAAGAAAAGGAGACAAAACATTGAAAGTATGGCAGGCACATGGATCCTTGAAGTATGTAGGCTAGTAGCATCTTGTGTTGAAGATGAGTCTTAGGGATCTGAGCACTCTTTGAAGAGAGGGAAGCTTTAAGGATGTCTACTGTGAATGCTAGGTTCTTGGGGAGAGACTCCTATTGCCGTTTCCTTCCCTGACAATATGGACTTGAGTAAGGGTGGATGATGCCAAAGAAATTTGGTTTTAGGTTTTGCTGAACTTGCAGGTCGCAACCCTGAACATGGCCTCTGGAGAGGAGACCTGGGTGCATGCCTCTTCTTGGCCGGCAGCAAGGAAATGGCTGGTTCCATCCTCTATACCAGGTTGGCACATGAGGAGATTCTTAGTTGACTGCCAGCATCCATGACCTGCAGACAAATCAAGAGGAGGATGGATGTGCTTGCTAACAGTCTCCAAGTGCAGGGCACAACTGACTGCACAGAAACGACCATCCCCTCCCCTCCCCCTCCCCCAACCTCAGTCCTTCTGTACATACACTAACTCTTACACCACACTCTTTCTAGGAGCCACTTTCTCACTGAGATGCCTCCTGTGAAGACGGCTGGCTCTGTCTTCCTCTGATTTAGACAGTAAAGTGGGTTAACAATGGGGGGAGCATTTCTAAACTTCATAAAGTGGAAACTACAAACCTTAGCAGAATTGCAAAGGTGCTTGGAACACGAGGAGACCAAAAATAATTAATCCCCACGGGTATATTCCCTTTTACCAGTAAAACCTTAGGAATGTGTGTGTATTGGGAAGCTCAAAGCACTTATAGGTATGTATCTAAACCCCATCTTTGCCAAAGGCTCTCTGAAGAAAGGGGAGAGATCTTTCCAGGCTGTTCATATCTAAAGACTTGGTTTTTACAAAGGCTTAAATGTACACTGGTTAATAATCCCCTAAAGCATTCGGTGGCAGTAAACAAGGAGCTAAACCAGCCCTTTGAATACTCACAATGGAATACAAATTCCAGAGCACAGAATAAAGTTGAAATGTTTCACTCTAGAACCAAATGTCCCCAGAGTTCAGGGGTGAGCTGCAGTTCTGGCTCAGGACCATTTCTATTGGATTCCTAAGTGATGTCTGGATTTAAACATCCAGAATGTGGTGGCTTTTTCTTAATTGTACCAGATTCAGCACCAAGCAAAATTTGAGCCCCTTGAAAAATCAAGTTTTGAACTTACAAAGGAAAATACAGCCCCTTCCCTGTTGCTTGAACTACAAACATGCTTGTGGCAGGGGCAGACTCTCTCTGCTGCCAGCACTTTGAACAAGAAGCAGCTGCAAAAAATATCCCCCTACGCCTGGGAGAAACCCTTTATACCAAGGTGTGTGTCTCAATCATACAGTGAGGAAGGAAGCAGTAGTGCTTGACAAACTCAGTACCTAGGAACTGCCACATGGAGTCAGACCAGGAGACCCTCTCATCTAGGAGCCTGTCCAATACAGGGTTTCTTGCATATTGTAAAACAACAATGAGGTTTCTCCCTAGCCCTAAGCAGATAGAAGGGATATAAATCCTCAGCTTTTAGGGCATAAGTCCAGCCTCTTACTTTTTTTATGCTAATATCACGGTTGATCTCATCAGCCACAGAAATGCTTCATCCTTTTTTGGTTCTCCCAGAGCTCATGGCCCCAACTATATCTTGTGACTGTCTGGTTAATTGAAGCTTGTGTAAAAAAACATCTTGTGTTGTCTTTCAATATCATTGGGTGTCCCTTAGTTCATGTCTTAGGAGGGAGAATATGGGAGCAGCCTACTCACCTTTGCTCTACTGTTCCTTATTTTTACATACTGCTATTTAACTCAGAGGAGGAAACAATAGAGGTAAGTTTTGGCCTGATTCCTTCCTCTAGGCCAGGGGTCGGCAACCTTTCAGAAGTGCTGTGCCGAGTCTTCATTTATTCACTCTAATTTAAGGTTTTGAGTGCCAGTCATACATTTTAATGTTTTTAGAATGTCTCTTTCTAGAAGTCTATAATATCTAACTAAACTATTGTTGTATGTAAAGTAAATAAGGTTTTTAAAATGTTTAAGAAGCTTCATTTAAAATTAATTTAAAATGCAGAGCCCCCTGGACCAGTGGTCAGGACCCGGGCAGTGTGAGTGCCACTGAAAATCAGCTCGCGTGCCGCCTTCGGCATGTGTGCCATAGGTTGCCTACCCCTGCTCTAGGCTGTTGAGTTGAACTGTGTTTGTGGTTACTCTTAAAACAACAGTAAATACACTTGTTGTAAATGTTTATAATCCTCCTCCCACTTCCAGAGTGTCAATTCTAGTATAGCAGCATGTGACTTCCCTCATTTGGCTCAAGAGTGAAGACCTTGCAGAGGTGATCTGAGAAGAGCCTCCTGCTGCTAAGGACAGTAAATGTCCGAGTGCCAATTCTTTTTTTGCATTCATTGGTTTCTAGGTCATTCTCAATGCCCAGTGTTAATGCTGGTACCTTCACCTTCCAGTGGATTCCCAGACGGGCATTTTGGTCAGTAAATACCCACTTTCCTCCCTAAAAGACCAGTGCAAGAATCCAACCCTTGCTTTTGGATGCCCTCCTAAAAACACCACCATTTGTACAATAAGCTTCTATTAGGCTGTTGAAACAACTTGCTGTTATAAGTATTTGGGACCAAAATTAAAAGTGCTAAATCCCTCAAGCAGGGAAGCCTCTCCTGTGTTGGTAACTCGTGAGCTTGTGCAGTTCTGTCAGGGGCTTTATGGGATGCCACTAACGAGAAAGATCTGCCTCCCCTTCATTGCATCAGCTGTTCAGCTACCCTCCAAAAAAAGGTTCAATAGGGCAATGTTAGTTTAAAGAATCTGACATCATCAACCTCTCTATGCTGTGCTGCAGAGAAATGCCCTGAATTAAAGCCAAAAGGGACTTCCTTGTTCAGTTTCCTTGGAGCTTAGATACCAATATTTTTATGGCACTTAAGCAGATCACAAAATGTTCTTCCGTGGATTCTGTCAAAATCACCCTTCTGTTTCACACTGTGCAGCCTCAAACACCAGCAGTGCTGAAGAAATTAACAAGGGTTTTACATTTACGCGCAATTCTATAGCTACACCTTGTGAATGTGTATTTCAAATCATGGGGCCACTGCCGCCCCTCTGCACTTGGCAGAGGCCTGTCTACCCCTGTGGAAGAGGCCTCTAGAATGTAATAATGAGGGAACCAAGAGGAGACTACAGACATTCTCTGCTAAATATTATAGACTTTTTGTGTAATAAAATATTTCTGTAGATTTTTAGGAACATCCTATAAAATGCTATAGCAGAAATATAGTTCTATATTCAGTTCTCCTGGATGGTTACTTACTTACTTACTTACACACACACACACACACACACACAATTTTCATTACATTCTACAGGACTTTTCCAGATGGGCAGGTTCTGAGAGAAGGAGGCTGCAGCACACGGAGATATCCAATAACACAAGAACTTGGATCAGTCTGCCCCTGTGACTTGGGAGATGTGATTTCTATATAATACAATTCTCAAGGGCAAAAAACCTATTCCTAAAATATAAATCACTGCTGCCCTCAAGGGAGGAGGAAAATCCTCCAGGGAAGAGAGCAGGGCAGTTTCTCTTCTCTCTCCTTTGATATTTTCTTTGCAGAAACCATACCTGCTCTCGAAGTAAAAATGACTGGTCCGAGGTGACTGCCTCAAGCAGAGTCTATACTGCTGCTAAGAGGATGCCATGAGGTTACCCTCTGCCACCCCATTTCCCTTTGCTAGGGTCCCGCCTTTTGCTAGGTCAGAGTCAAAGTCACAGGCCGCTCCCCCTTCAAGGCCTTACCTGAGCTCACTCTACTTACCTCTCACTTCCTCCCAGTCGTTCCTGTTAACTGTCCCCGTCAGGCCTCTGCAAGTCTCTGAACTTCCGACGAAATCAACTGGAGTTGAAGGTGTCTAGGACTTCATGAAACTGGGCCCATAGTTTCCTTGTCCCACTTTAAGCATCGCATCGGGTTGAACACTCCTGCTCTACAGTTGGCACAGGCTCCCATATTCTGCTCTCCGAACGCTCTCCGTCTCCCACTTTAAATCCTTGTTTAAATCCACTTTTGTGCTTCAATACCATCTGCCTGGCTTTCTTTTCCCCCGTGGACATGATATTTCCTAAGGAGAGTCCTTCTGTTGTCCATCATTCCTCAACAATTTTCTCGGCTCCTAAAGTGCTCCATCCTGCTACTTTGTAACACCTGTAAAGCAATAAGAATGTCCTGGATGAAAGCTGCCGCTGAAGAGAGCGCCCTCTCCGAGGTAGGTATTACAGGACAGTTCAGATTTTACAAAGGTCTTGGAGAGGACACTAGAAACCACTGTAAAATTAGAGCGTTGTGGAAATAGGAAGTTAAGCCCTGCAGAATTTAGACGCTCCGCAGGAGCTTACCTGCAGAGAAGCTAATAGTCTAGCTTCATGCCGTAGACTGAGCCATTTTGGATAAAATAGGAGTTTACCTGCACCCCCATTTGTAAAGATTGCTAAAATGAGCCGACGGAGGTTAAGTCCCTCATCCACAGTGCACCTGATGTGCTCACCAAGTAGAAAAGCACAGGAATGCGCTGTATCAAATACAAGGTGACCCTGTATAGAGACTGCTAGACCAAGAGTGCACAGTTCTGTAAGATTACCTACAACCATGGTCTGGCCTCGTTACAGTAAATCACTGAACAGGCTGTTGACCGCAACTGTCCGAAGTGCTATTTCACAGAACTGTAGGACCTTGGCTTTCAACCTGTGGTCTGCAGATCCCTGGTGGGGGGGTGGATAGGGGAGGCGCAGACTAGGTCTAAGATCTCCGAAGAGGTCTGCATCTCCATTCAAAATTGGTTAGGGGTCCGCACATGAAAAGAAGTTGAAAACCACTGGTGTGGGACAGTTGGTGCGGGAGAGGTGGCTTCCATTGGAAGTTTCCAACATCCTATAGACACACAGTTAACTAGTAACCCCCTCCCTTGCACAGGAAAAACAGGCAATCACAGAGATGTAGGGCTGGAGGGGACCTCGAGGTCACATCTGCGCCATACTGAGGCAGGATTAAGTACACTTAGATCATCCCTGCCAGCTGTTTGTCTAACCCGTTCTTAAAAACCTCCAATGACTGGGATTCTACAACCTCCCTAGGTAACCTGTTCCAGTGCTTACCTAAACTACCTTACAGTTAGAAAGCTTTTCCTAACATGGCAGGTGATTATCATTTATGAGAGCGCACTGGTTTGTCAGCAGCAGCCTACTGAGTTCTCTCCACTTTAACAGTTTCATTCCCAAGCCTTGCTGAATAATTAATAGTAGCAAGTGCCCCATCAAATTCACATCTGTCTTTCTGCCCATGTAGGAGTTAAATTTGATTAGAGTGTGGCACTTGTTAAATGACTGTGAACATAAGACTGACCGTACTGGGTCAGACCAAAGGTCCATCCAGCCCAGTATCCTGTCTACCAACAGTGGCCAATGCCAGGTGCCCCAGAGGGAGTGAACCTAACAGGTAATGATCAAGTGATCTCTCTCTCCTGCCATCCATCTCCACCCTCTCACAAACAGAGGCTAGGGACACCATTCCTTGCCCATCCTGGCTAATAGCCATTAATGGACTTCACCTCCATGAATTTATCTAGTTCTCTTTTAAACCCTGTTATAGTCCTAGCCTTCACAACCTCCTCAGGCAAGGAGTTCCACAGGTTGACTGTGCGCTATGTGAAGAACTTCCTTTTATTTGTTTTAAACCTGCTGCCCATTAATTTCATTTGGTGGCCCCTAGTTCTTATATTATGGGAACAAGTAAATAACTTTTCCTTATTCGCTTTCTCCACACCACTCATGATTTTATATACCTCTATCATATCCCCTCTTAGTCTCTTTTCCAAGCTGAAAAGTCCTAGCCTCTTTAATCTCTCCTCATATGGGACCCATTCCAAACCCCTAATCATTTTTGTTGCCCTTCTCTGAACCTTTTCTAATGCCAGTATATTTTTTGAGATGAGGAGACCACATCTGTACACAGTATTCAAGATGTGGGCGTACCATGGATTTATATAAGGGCAATAAGATATTCTCTGTCTTATTCTCTATCCTTTTTTAAATGATTCCTAACATCCTGTTTGCTTTTTTTGACTGCCGCTGCACGTCTTCGGAGAACTATCCACGATGACTCCACGATCTCTCTCCTGATTAGTTGTAGCTAAATTAGCCCCCATCATATTGTATGTATAGTTGGGGTTATTTTTTCCAATGTGCATTACTTTACATTTATCCACATTAAATTTCATTTGCCATTTTGTTGCCCAATCATTTAGTTTTGTGAGATCTTTTTGAAGTTCTTCACAGTCTGCTTTGGTCTTAACTATCTTGAGCAGTTTAGTATCATCTGCAAACGTTGCCACCTCACTTTTTACCCCTTTCTCCAGATCATTTATGAATAAGTTGAATAGGATTGGTCCTAGGACTGACCCTTGGGGAACACCACTAGTTACCCCTCTCCATTCTGAAAATTTACCATTTATTTCTACCCTTTGTTCCCTGTCTTTTAACCAGCTCTCAGTCCATGAAAGGATCTTCCCTCTTATGCCATGACAACTTAATTTACGTAAGAGCCTTTGGTGAGGGACCTTGTCAAAGGCTTTCTGGAAATCTAAGTATACTATGTCCACTGGATCCCCCTTGTCCACATGTTTGTTGACCCCTTCAAAGAACTCTAATAGATTAGTAGGACATGATTTCCCTTTACAGAAACCATGCTGACTTTTGCCCAACAATTTATCTTCTTCTACATGTCTGACAATTTTATTCTTTACTATTGTTTCAACTAATTTGCCTGGTACTGACGTTAGACTTACCAGTCTGTAATTGCTGGGATCACCTCTAGAGCCTTTTTTAAATATTGGCATTACATTAGCTATCTTCCAGTCATTGGGTACAGAAGCGGATTTAAAGGACAGGTTACAAACCATAGTTAATCGTTCCGCAATTTCACATTTGAGTTCTTTCAGAACTCTTGGGTGAATGCCATCTGGTCCTGGTGACTTGTTACTGTTAAGTTTATCAGTTAATTCCAAAACCTCCTCTAGTGACACTTCAATCTGTGACAATTCCTCAGATTTGGGAATCTCCCAAACATCCTCAGCCGTGAAGACTGAAGCAAAGAATTCATTTAGTTTCTCTGCAATGACTTTATTGTCTTTACGTGCTCTTTTTGTATCTCGATCGTCTAGGGGCCCCACTGGTTGTTTAGCAGGCTTCCTGCTTCTGATGTACTTAAAAAACATTTTGTTATTACCTTTTGAGTTTTGTGGAGGTGTTTGTCTGAGGTATCCGCTAAACTGTAAAACCATGAACAGTCACTGTGCAAGGGACACTATTGCAGTGTGAGGGGTCCCAAAGTCACATTAATATACATGGAGTCTCATTAAAATCTCTAATCACCAGTACATTATTCAAATGTACTTACTGAAGCTTAAACACACAGTCATTTAGTAATAGCAAGAGATTGATCACGCAAAGTAAGTGCTAAAAAATCTCCATGAAGATCTAATAGAAAAGAGAAAAGATTAGAAAACTATTGATATATTTAAAAACAAAAACACAACAACACATCACTCCAGTTCTCCTCCGCTAGCGCGACCTTTTCACTCAGGAACTGCTACACTCAGATCCCCTTTGAAGTTACTTTAACCAGAATATCAAGAAAGATTTCAAAGGCTTTAAGGTCTTTTTCAATTTTGTTTTAAGTAGTGAGCCAAGGAACACGGTATGTTCTAAAACACTGTTATAGATGGCATCCAAACTGGAACCATGGCTCTAAACCCTTCTGGGCTCAAGCAGCTTAAGGTATGTCTACACAGCAAAGAATAACGCATAGCTGGCCCAGGTTTGTGGGGCTGTTTCATTGCTGTGTAGACTTCCAGGCTCGGGCTGGAGCCTGAGCTCTGGGACTTCCCAGGGTCCTGGAGCCCAGGCTCTAGCCTGAGCCCCAGTCGGCTGGCACAGGCCAGGCGCAGGTGTCTAGTTGCCGTGTAGACGTACCCTTAAATTCAGATCTGAATTTGGGCTCAAAACCCATCTTTCTACTGGCACAGAAAAGGAGCCTTGGATCCAACCCCTCACCTAACTTGGGGAGAATTTGGATCTGTATCTAAAATGTCCTAGTTCACATGTGTTTCTAATTAGTTTGTTATATACATAGACACACACACTTATTTTTAGTGGGATAGCTCAGTGGTTTGAGCATTGGCCTGCTAAACCCAGGGTTGTGAGTTCAATCCTTGAGGGGGCCGCTTAGGGATCTGGGGCAAAATCAGTACTTGGTCCTGCTAGTGAAGGCAGGGGGCTGGACTCAATGACCTTCAAGGTCCCTTCCAGTTCTAGGAGATAGGATATCTCCATTATTTTTTTTTATGCCCACAGATTTAATGCTAGTGAAAGATCAACATCCCTGAGAATGAAATCTACTTCTCTATAGAATGGGTACAGCAAAGACAATGCGAGTGCAAGGCTGCCCCACCAACCTGACCTAGAGGGACCACCCCCAACCCATTCTCCTGCAGTCCCCGCTGAGACTGCCGAAGGGAAGGCTTCCAGGTACCTTGGTAGCGATAGTAACGTGGATGCCTGTTCATTAGGAACTGGATGGCAAGTGCCAGCTTGCTTCAGCAAGTCCACAGATGCCCAACAGTAATGACTTTCAGCAACTGCCAGCCTGTGCTGCATTTGCACGGAACAGCTCAAAGGTGAAAGGCTCTGGCTTCTGTTACCCAGGTGGTCTCCCAAACGCAGATGCTGAAAAGTCTGAGAACATCTCACTTCAAAGCAAAGGATTCAAGTGTAGGTTGCTTAGGGCTGGTCTATACTTAGCCGCTAGTTCGGCGGCTGGGGATCGAACTTCCGGGTTCGATTTATCGCGTCTGGTCTGGACGCGATAAATCGAACCAGGAAGTGCTCGCCGTCGACTGCGGTACTCCATCTCAACGAGAGGAGTACCGCGGAGTCGACGGGGGAGCCTGCCTGCCCCGTGTGGACCGCGTCTGAACCGCGGTAAGTTCGAAGTAAGGTATGTCGACTTCAGCTACGTTATTCACGTAGCTGAAGTTGCGTACCTTACTTCGACTTGGGGGGGTTAGTGTAGACCAGGCCTTAGAGAAGATAGCTGCATTCCACCTGACCTGTTAGCAGTAAGCAGATGGGGGTAGGGGCATTAATACCTTTCATCTATGCTTTAACAAGCACCTTCTCATTTCAGCAGTGTATCCCATGCACACTTTGCTCTTGTGGCTCAGATCTTAAATGGTGCTTACTGCATTCTTGACCTAAGCCCACTGCTAAACTGCACCCAGGAATAATCTTATCCATGGAAACCGAATTTATTAGTCCAAAAATTATTTAAACAGCAGCCTCTTTTAGTCTGATCCCATTGACCCAACCTCCTGCAGTGACCTTTGATCCTGGGCCGGTGCATATAAGAAGTTGTCCACTTAAAAGATCTAAAATTTGTAAAATGCTTCAAACCCTATTTGTCTATTATGGGAGAATGGGCCTGAATTGTATGTTTGAACCTTTAAGGGCTGAAAGTCTGTTTACTAGCGAAGCACGAGCCTCTTTAGCGCATGGTAAAAACACCTAGCAAAAGCAGGGCTATTGACGAGGCTGTTACATCAGACATTACATTACGTAAGTTTCTTCTATTCAGAGCACAGTTCTCCTGCTGCTAGTATGCCTGAAAAACAAGTACAAGGGCTTACGCAACCTGCTGTATGAAACTCCTCTCTCCTGCTGTGCTGATCTTTCGGCTGGATTACCAAGGGGAGGCCACAGAAAGATGCTGTTTCTTAACCCAGAAATCCCAGTGTGCATTCAAAGATTATGCAAGCGTAGAGCCATGCAACGTGCTGCAGATTCGGTTTACAGCCGCTAGTTAGGCCCAGCTAATCCCCTGCATCCAAACTTGTTGAGCTCTGCATCTGGTGCAATGTCTACAATGGGCAGAACCCAATCCCCGTCTCTATTAGGCTGGGGCTGCTGTAAAATGCAGAAGCCATGTGAAGTGAAGCAGGGAGAGGGGAATGATATAGAAGACGACTCCTTTATGTAGCTAGCTAATCCATTGCCGGTTTTTCCATTGGACTGCTTTAACATGAAAGGGATGCAGAATTCACTCCAGTCACCTGCAGAGTAATCTTGAGTTTACAGTCAAGTGGAACCTTTTTTGTTAGGGTCCTTGTGTCGGCAGGAGCCATAATGCTGGCTACACGCCCACCTCATTTCTTTGGTACTACATTTGAGTCGAGACCGAGGTTGTTGTTAATGACTTCTCTGTGCCTCACTTTACCCAGTGGTAACTACATCAGTTAGTCTAGTACAGTGGTTCCCAAAACTTGTTCTGTGGCTTGTGCAGGGGAAAGCCACTGGGGGGCCGGGCCGGTTTGTGTACCTGCCGTGTCTGCAGGTTCGCCCGATCGTGGCTCCCAGTGGCCGCGGTTCGCTGCTCCAGGCCAACGGGAGCTGCTGGAAGCAGCGGCCAGTACGTCCCTCGGCCCGCGCAAGGGAAGGGGAAAATAAGTTTAAACTTGGTTATCTGTGTAGAGCAGACAGGCCTTTAACCTCCTGTTTGCTCTCAGTGACTATTGAATGGTGCCTCATAGAAGTGCTAACATTCTCGCTGTCCATACTACTCACAGCTGCTATTGCAAAATGATGTTTCCCCTCCTATCAATTCCTCCCCACCCTCCTCCCTAGGCAGCCCAATGCTTCCTCATCTGTCAAGTGTGGCTCACTTCCTCTGCAAGACAAGCCCTTTGAAAATCTGAATTTAGTTCTTAGCCCGTTCCCAAAGCCCAGAATTACTGGTCAGATTCAACCCAAGTGGTTGCTACCTCCAGTTTTAAAGGAAACTTGACGCATTGAGAGTCTGGTGTGAAGGCTATAACACCTCTCCCCATCCCAGCTTACCCTTATTTAAATTGATCTCCTCCCACATCCCCTAACCGCACTTTCACAAATCATGTGAAAAAAACCCCACATATTTAAATGGACTTTAAAGACAGTCTGAGTTTTATCTTTTCCCCTCATTCTACAGACATGCTGCTCTGATTCTAGTCAGAGAGATTCAGAAAGCGCTGCAGGATGTCCTAGGGAGAAACTTCAGAGGCAAGGGGAAGCCTTTGTGATAAATGCCCCAGAGCCATTTGAAAGCAGTTGTCTGAACTTCTTGACCCAGCAGGATTGAGTAGGTGGAGTGGGCAGGAGACTAGTTACTTAGGCTGCCTGCCTGCCTCTGAATTTCACAGTTAGATTTGGATATCAGCAGCATTCAGCCAGGCCATCTCCTCAGCTAAGCAAGGTTGGGTCAATGGAGTCGAGGGAGGCAGGCTTCCAAAGTAAATCGGTCATCTGTGGCGCTGCAGGAAGTGGCATTGATGATTCCCGATCAAGGAGTGGCACTTTCTCCTTGGAGTTAGAACTTTATCTGAAGCCCCAGGGTAGACGCTGATTACTGTGCAGGTGCCATCTCAGCTTTTGGACAAGATCCTGATCTCTAGGGACTATACAAGGTATTTAATCCAGGTTTAAATTCTGGCTAACCAATTTCACCCTGCGCTTTGGACGGTCATTAAGGTACAGGACAGGGGGAAGTCAAGTTGCGTTTCTAGCTCTGCCACTGACTGCTTGTGGGACTTTGGGCATAGATCACGTGGCTTTTGAAATTTGGGCATAATCTTGGGGAGGTCAACTTGACGCATCTAGGACTTGAGGTCAATAGATGCTCTAGTTGCTCGCTGCCTGTAAGGTGAAAAAAGAAAAGTCAGCCACAGATGTCTCCAATTGGGCACCCACCGTTAATTGACATTTGAGGTTTGGGCACCTTTTCTGTGCTTCCATTTCTCCCTCTGTAAAATAGGGATGACGCTTGCCCACATTGTAGGGGTGCTGGGAGGGCCCAGAGGAGGCCTTCAGCTCTGGCTTTGAGGGAAGTTACAAATGTAAAGAAGAATCGCTGCATTCATTTTTCATAAATATACTTTTAGTATATAAACCGAACACAAGCATCTACAGCTTGAACGTGAAGATCTGAAATTTCCTTCTTTCCTACATTTTGTAAAAGGAATCAGTTAAGTTGGGGGTGTATCCAAAATACTTACCCACTCCAGAATCCTTGGCCTGGCCCTGTGCATCGAGTGTGTGTGTGGGGAGGAGGGGAGGGCAGGCAGGACAGCGGTTACGGTAGATTCAGCAATGGGGAGTTCAGTCATTACAACATTGTGGGGAGGAGGGGGACTCCTGGGACAGTGCAGGAAGGAACTTCCCTTACGCTTTTAGCACAGGAATAGTAACTGTACTCTCCCTATTCCTCTGACTTAACCCGGGGACAGGAAGCTGAATAGAGAGGTGGCAACATTTGTTTAGGAGCCCTGGGCAATCACGCATAGGCCAGTTTGGAAACTAATTTATTAATGAATATTTGTGAACGACCATGAGACTGGATGCAAGGCTCTATAGAGTGCCCAGTAGAGCATTCAATTTCCTCCACAGTCCTG